CGGACGACGTACGACGGACGACGGACGACGGACGACGACGGACGAAAACGGATAGCAATAGGTCACTTGAGCTAAAGCTCAGGTGACCTAAAAATGCGCATATAATTTATTGTATACATCTGGTATCGTATTTCATAATCACTTTATGATATATATATCTGATATCGGATACATAATCATTTGATAACATATATATGCAGATTTAAGAGATTATATATAGTTGGTATCAAATTGCATAACCACTGTAAAATATATAATTCTGGTGTCGAATTACATAATAATTGAATCCTAAATTTCTGGTATCGAATCGCATAATCACTGTGTAATCGAAGTGTACTATTTTGAAGACAGATCAGAGAACATATTATATATGTCATTGCTATTAATGTAATAGGATTGTGTCGCCATTTCTCAGTAGAATTTATTCAAATTTTGTAGTTATATTGCTTTGAAGTTAATAAAATTTTCTGCCTTAAAAAAATATAGGTTGTCAGAATTTTAAGGATTTTAAATGGAAATTTATGTAAAAAGGAGTGAATTGTGAAAAAAAAATTGAAACACATTTTTTTGCAAAATAATGTCAATAAAAATGATATTGACATAGATTAGTATTGCATTAATGTATATCAATTTCATAAATGCTGAAATTGTGTAAAATTAATTATCTATAAACGATTAAAAATTGACATCTTTTAATAAAACCATATGCACGTATTAAGTGCATGCAAGAGTTATCGTTCTTGAAAAACTTCACAGTAGTGAAATAGGTAGCCGGTTTCCTGAAGTACAGAAAAATGGACACATGTGACTCATTGATTAAAAAACAACTGAATTAATGCCTGGATTGCTTTGCAATCCTTTAATATTGAAAGAACACACTGTACTTCCTATTTCCGTTTAGCAACACACTCCTATGACCTTAATATATATACATGTACAAAGGCGAGGAGGCAAGAAAAAGGACCATTTTGTGTTAACAGGTTTTGCTTTACATTTTTGTTTTTATTAGTCAAAAACATTTTCAACAAAAAATAGTTATGATTAATTAACAGGGGATCTGTTAAAAGCTTACATAACATGGACATACTGTTAGGGTGTATACTCTATTCCATCTTACACCGCATTGCTTTTAGTCTTGGTTCTGAGCAACAAGGTGTGCCTGTTAACCCCATACGTATAGCCTACATACAACATTGACAATGATACACAAATAACACCTTCAGCATGTAACCCAATAAATGTAAAAAGGAAATAAAACATATATATCCAGATAGAGAACGACTGTTACAAAAGAGTGGAGTCAATAGGTGTGGAGATAAAACAGGAGCTGTTATAAGTGTTAATGTACACACAAACATAGAAAACACAGTCATACAAATATACGATGATACATATAAACCAGGTATGGTATAGACAATTCATTAATAACATATTTACGTGTAGTTTTAGAAGTCATTAACACCACACTAAAACGTATCAAATCTGAATAAAATTAATGAAAAAAAATAAGCAAAAAAAACGCTGATGTAATACTTTACCCTTACAGTAATCTTTATTAGTATATCCTTCATATTAAATGAATTTCAATTGTTTTTGTCAAACATTTTTCTTGCGAGAACGAATATGGAAGTCATAATACAGAAAGAGATACACATAGTGAGCTGGGTTTTTTCGAAGAGTTCTCGTCCTTATGGACACATATTCGGAAAGGGTTAACAATTCCTTTCCCCTCTCTGAGTATGTCAGAAGTTCAATACACCAAATTAATATAATGGCAGCAAAAAACGCTTATTCAATAAAACATACCTCCACGCGAAAAGCATCCAAATGACATTAATACAAAACATCAAAAATGCGTAAATATAAATGAGATCGTTCCATCATGTAGGTCCATACGTCACATGGTGCACCCTGTACACATCTAAGTGTAATTTACGCTGACTCTTGTGTCCTTTTGTACTCGTAAACACTGCCCCGCCCCACTACACTAGAGGGTGTGTCTACTCTCCTCCTCTTCCTCTGTCCATGGTGTTCCTCACTGGCCTCACCCTCCTCCGGGGGACCATACCCACCACCCCCGGGAGTCTGTAGCAGGAAAACGTCCTAAAAATAGAGTTAAACAGAAATTAGGGTTGAAAACAAATTCATTTGGCTCTACAAGCGATTATTGTCCAGATGAATGTACAGTATTATGTGTAATGTACTCCTTCAGTAAGAATTTATAACAAAGACACTATTTTACGTAAAACGGGGAAAAAAACATGTGTCCGAACATCAACACACATGAACAAAACGAAAAAGACTTCCCCTGTAAAGCAAATAATACATATAAAAATATTTGAATAAAAGTAGATAACGAAGCCGCATGCAAAAGTCGGACCAAGTAAGAAAGTGGTCTGTCTTGGTTAAATAACTTTTTGCGTGATTTCCAAAGGCCCCGTGGGAGATACAGAAAAATTTAATTCCTAAGTGTCAGAGACGGTAAAATGTGAATACAACAGGTAAACACATCTTAATGACGTGTTAACACATTTAACAAAATTGACAATTGAAGGTATGGTTGCAATAGACACGTGTGACGTCACGATCTTATCCTGCCGATCCTGCCCTGATTAGTTGTTACTAGGTACGTACAAATATAACCACTGTATGTCTACTATAGCAGTGGCGGATCCAGAGGGGGTTTTTGGGCTTCCGGAAAACCCCCCACCCTGAGAATGTTCTTTAAAAATCATATATTTTCACCATTTTCCTCAATTTTTTCCAACATGGAAACCCCCCCAGATAGGTCTCTGGATCCGCCACTGTATAGGAAGGGATTTATCAGTCTCACTACATATTTACGTGAAGGAATAGAGAATAAACATCCTACGTCTAATTAGCAGCACACAAAGACAATATGGCCACTCAAATCCTACAGGAAATAGCAACCACAAGTCACGATGAAACACCGATACCATTTGACATTGAATCAATACCTACAAAACCCTTGGAGGATATGTGTTATTTATGTGTTAACGTCTTGCTGTATTAACACTTGGATTATACACATCAAGGGATTACCGACATGTACCTGATGTGGGGAGTGCTAAACTGTAATTGGCATTCAATCGTTTTTATGTATAGAGTTTCGCAACGTTCTATTTTTAACAGGAATGCAGTGTTTTGATTAAGAGGAATCTAAAACTTTTTTAAATTGTATTTTCTGTAGTAGATTTCTTACGTCCTAGTAGTAACCGGACAAGCAAATGTAATAGTAAAATATATTTACTAATACAACGTTAACATTACCAGAACAGACCGTGGTTTTATCCAGGAAACATGTACAAGTGTTACACCAATATCCCACTAATTTACAGCGACTACACCGCAAACGTAAACAAAATTAAATTGCCTGTTTCTGCTACACGTATTTTGATATGACCGATTCCACCCTGTCTGATGTTTCAATCAAACCCGAGAGCCGCGCAATGCATGCAATTTTGGAGCAATGGCAGCATGGACGAAACGCTGGTAAACCTGGCGAAACGTAAATTTACAAGAAACGTTAATTTACATTTGTATTAGCTCTACACGTGTTCGTGTATACAAGAACATGTGTAGCTCTTCAAAGTATTATAAGCTTTCCGAAATAGTCTTCTAAAACACATCTCAAAGGGTGAAAAATATTATTGTGACAGACGTTATTCTGTTTATACAGCAAAGGAAGCAATTTATTTTTCAGCACGTCATGAAAAATTTAACAAGGAAAATATAACATAACTCTTGCTAACACACTTTATCTGACAAGACTTCATAGTTGAGAATCTGGCTTTTCACATTCCAGAAGAGTTTATTTTTCTTTTTAATTTACATTGATACACATGTTTAGCTTTTATTAATTTCATAATGCTCGTTATATAGCTCAGGTATATAGCAGTTGAACGTTTGCCAAATGTAAATTATAAAGCTAGCCTAACTGCAAGCGCATATTGGCATGCAGCATAAAGATAATTAAGACGTTGAACAGATGTCAGGAAAAATACGCTCCTGAGCATCTGTAAATTGGTTGTGGCCATTAGATCTACACGTGAACAATGACACGGCGATAGTAGCTTGGCACTAGAGGGCGCTGTATGTACCTCTTATCGGCCAATTGTATCTGTGTACTTCGGAGCAAAACAAACGTAACGAAACATGACATAAATTTTAAAAGTTTGATAGAGACGATAAAACTTGTACTAGTTGTTGTGTTCAACCGTATCAATCCTGTTTTGTTACTTCCGTAACTTCCACAGTTTGATTTTTAAAAAGTTGAGGTAGTCACAGCAAGATCTTCGATTACAATTAGTTCGAGGTCTGTAATAAACAACAGAAATACGTAGTACTGCAAAACAAACACTTCATCGGATTGTGTTTATAAGTTTATTATGGTATTGATGTTGGTAATGTTTGAAGAATATGAATCTTTGTCATATATTTTTGGTCTTTTTGTATCCATACCATAGGTGACCCTATATAATACACGGTATATCCTACGCTGTATCATATCGTACTAGTATAATACGCCACCTGCCGGTGACCAATATACAAGTAGAAGTACGACCGTTCAATATAACAGCACAGATGTCTCGGTATATAGTATAAATATTTACCACTCTACGGCAATGACAGTTTATATACCGAGTTCATATGACATCCATGCAGCTCTGAATGCATTGGACTACGTGTTGACGTCATCATTATTATGACGTCATAATTTAACATCAAATAATACCACTGACCCTTGGAAATGGCTGTTTTAATCAATGCACAACTGCAAGCATACACGATACATATATTTTGTATGTGTTATAATATCAAAATATGGTTAATATGTACGTAAAACGTTATACAATAGTATATGTATTCCGATATATTAAAAGCAATAAGACTATTTCCTGAGTCACTATTTCCTGAGTCTGTTCCGGTATATCAGTAAAACCATTTCCTATGACACCACATGTGACCCGTACATAAGTAGAATTTCCTATCACAATATATAAACAGATAAGTTATACACGTTTCCATGTAAATATATGTAGAGGGAAGACCCTTTCTATCTCACTTGTTTGATAGCTTGTTTACTAGAGACACCTAATTATTGCTCTCGTCGAGTATGTGGTACCTGCCACTAATTTGTCAAAGCATCAAGCACCAATTGAAGCCATCGATGAACAGACAGAAAAAAGTGCCTCTCCGTAATTATCATAGAAGTGCTTTCCTCTCTAAATGTTTGATAAACATGTCCATACTACCGTGTGTTCTCTGCCGAACACGGCAATGTGTCTCTAACGAGGTAGCGCGTGCCAAACACAACGAAACAGCACAAGTGGCAAGAACCACTCATTCAGACACGAGCAAGTATTGTGCATCAGCTGTGTCAATACTTAGACAAAATATAATACATTCTCTTTATACCTCGTAAATAATGCTTTTCAATGATATACTTCATTGATATCATATTAGAGAAAATTGGTTCTTGAAAAGATGTTTTTTTTTTAGCTTAGACGAGAATGTATACCACATTTTGAATCATTTATTTTCCCCGTAAATAATAATAAGCTTTTTGTAGAATAATTATGAAACACATTTAATCAATGAACAAGTGTTTTTAATGTCGGAGGAAACGGGAGTATCCAGAAAAAAACCCACGTGTTCGTGCAGATGACCCCGAACCTTTTCACGTCCAATTCAGGAATTAAACCTCGACTGCATAGATGAATGGCGAGTGTGGTATTCACTATGCCACCAGACCACCATCTGATGATTTAGTAGTTGATATTAATTCACAATGGGTTACACACATTACAACATAATAGCCGGTAAAATTGGTTCCTTTTCCACTTTTTACCTAGGAACAATTTGTACAAAATAAAATTACTAAACAATTATAAGAGCAATGGTTATACTGTAAAATTTGTGCATCAGAAGAGAAAGAAACGTATAGATATAAAGCTACAGTTTTGGAAGATTTTTCACGTAATTAAAATATGAAGTAATATAATCGCCGTATGATGTTAATCGAAAAACATATGTCCGGTGAACTATGCTTAAAATTTTCTTCGGTGTACAATAATCAACAACACACATGCACTTGCATTGATGAACGTCAAGTGTATGGAAAACACTAATTTCAAGATGTACTAGGACATCCCTTATCTGACCACTGTTGTAGACTATTAATCAGTGGTATGAGTGACGTCAGACTCTGTAAAACTGTTTAACATCGTGAATCAAGCCTAATGAAAAATCCATCTGTAATGAATTAATATGTTATGATGAACGATATCAAGGGTGTTCTCTGTATCGGTATCTAGCTGGCAATCCTCATTACACATCCACCTGCTCATAAAAGATAGATGCACGTGTTTTTCTGGCAAATGCCTCGCAAAACAGACGACCCAACAGGTAATAACATCACTTCCTCCTTTAAAACAGGCGGTTTTAAACCGTTAGCTTTACTCATCTTTTAAAAAAGTGTAGCGGTAATGGATTCTTTTCTCGGAGTTTTTGCCACATCTTAACATGATATTAAGAAACCATTCCCCATTTGAAATGCTATATATACGTGAAAGAAAAAGTTTTAATGTCCAGCAATAATGTACAATTTAACATGCTTCACGACGGTAGAATCTTCTTTAAACCCTAAAGCAGCCTATACACTATCAAAGACACATATAAACCACAAGTGTCTGGATTAAATCTGTATCAATCAAGTGTTTGGTAATGAGGAACATATTTCCCTTTGAAAACCGATATGGATTAGTTTCGCCATCACGCAGCTTAGACTCGCCCTCTCTTTTGTAGTCTATCAGATGTGTTACCCGGCAAAATTGCTTAACATCGTCTTATCAACGACAATTAGTAAAACAATCATGATTTAATACAATTATTTTTTTCAAAATCTGGACTGTCGATTTTTATTCCCCCATTTGTCCATAAGGATTCAATATCATATTCTATGGCTGTTTTTTTTATAATTTCATCCTGACTTTACGTATATAATTTTATATGTATGCTTCTTATAACTTATATTGCAACTCCATTTTATTAGATGTATCATTGCAGCATACAGCCTAAAG